TTAGCCCGGATCCTCATACGGGCAACAGCGCTCTGACACCGAACGCTGATTGGTGAAAAGCCGGTTGTGGGAGTAAAATTTATCCCCACAATTGGCTTTTCATCAATTAGCGCTCTGTGTCAGAGCGCTGTTGCCCGTATGAGGATCCGGGCTAAGTTCTGATCGAGCACTTTTAGCACTCGACATCTTCGCTTTCTCTCTTTTTAAGGCAAAATATATATCTATCTAATTTTAAGTATAAAAATATTTGGGGATTTCATTCAACGCGACAGACCTAATGCATTGAAGAATGGTCGCGTTCAGCAGTCTCAACTGTTGTGTGCGGATCCGTGAGCGCTCGCTGCTATTGGACGATCTAGAAGAATACACCAAACTAGCGAGGGCTCACGGATCTGCTCCACACAGTTGCTGCTGAACGCGACCATTGAAAAGCGTTGAAAGCGTCCAAATCGATCGCAACCAGAAAGTAGGTCTGTTCTTTTTAGCTAAAGTTCTTGCACGGTTTATCTTTTCTCTTTTTCTCTCTAACGTAGAGAGAAAAGGAAGAAAAATGAACTGTGCAAGAAGTTCAGCTAAAAAGAACAGGCCTTGTGATTATCGCACTAGTATATATACATACGTATGTACGTAATTTATCAGCTGATTTTGTTAGTGAGCTGAGTGAGTCCTGATGGGCATTTTCTAAGAAAATTTGTTGACGAAGCGTGAATGGTCAATCCTATCAAATTTGAATGATAATGATGGGTCCTTTACAGATAATTGCGCGAACCGGAAAAATCGGTATGATATTCAAATGAATTTTGTGACAAACCTGATCTTGATTGTTCTTCCGTTCTTTCTTTTTCTTTTTTCATTTTGAATGCTTTTTGTTTAGTGATATACAAATCAACATAAACCTCTTATCGTTTTTGGCATTCAATGAATAATAAACGACTTATATTGATTTATATTGACTTATGCCTGTTTCTACCAATGCGGTTTAACTTTAATTTCGGTTCAACTAATTCTTTATCTTTTTCTAGTTTTAAAAATAAGAAAAAGATGAAGAATAAGTTGAACCGAGATTAAAGTTAATCCACATTAGTAGAAACGGGCATTAAAGCATTATGTATCTCTCTACTTGAATGTAGTGCTATGTAATTTATTTTAATTAGTACATCAGCTGATCTTGAACAAAGCACAATTTTTTAGGTCTTCTTATTTATTTCTTTAATATGCATAATTAGACTGCCAATTTATCATCAAAATTGTTCAGTTTGTAATAAAGAGGATTTCTTAATATATTCAATAAGAAATGATAATTTTAAGAATTATAAATGTTTTAGCACCAGGAGGATTCCTTAAGATTGTTCCAAATAGTGTAAACATATGTTTGAGTCGAAGTAAATATTACTATGTAAACAAAGATAAAGATAAAACCTGGACAGATATTATGGAATCAACAACTACACATATGTTTTTTCTTGAAATTATTCGAGGAATGGGAATTGCTACGTCTCAGATATTTAGGGAACCAGCAACGATAAATTATCCTTTTGAAAAGGGACCTTTGAGTCCTAGATTTAGAGGAGAACATGCATTAAGGAGGTACGCATAGATATATAAACCAAAAGTATATTGTAAATATATATATATATATATAATGTATATTTTGACAATTTAATATGGTTTATATATATTGTGATAATTATTAATAAGATATAACTTATAGCTAATTAAATATATGTTATAACTTATTATATAATAAGATAACTTATTTTTAAGACACTTGTGATCTAATGTTGATGTTACAATATGGTGAAGAAAAGAAAAACATAGTTAAATAGATTTTTCCAAATACAAAGTATTTAAACGTTAAATTTATTTAATTTTTCGAGGATTCTTCAGGTATCCTTCTGGGGAAGAAAGATGTATTGCTTGTAAATTATGTGAAGCAATATGTCCTGCGCAAGCTATTACAATTGAAGCAGAAGAAAGAGCAGATGGATCTCGACGGACTACAAGATATGATATTGATATGTCGAAATGTATTTATTGTGGTTTTTGTCAGGAAGCTTGTCCAGTAGATGCTATTGTTGAGGTAGATGCTATTGTTAATAAAGTGGCATTATTGGCAAAAGTAATATATGTATATGTATAATAAGGATGGGATTATTTTATATTAATAAGTAAATTGTTCCACAGGGTCCCAACTTTGAATTTTCAACTGAAACTCATGAAGAAATGCTGTACAACAAGGAAAAGCTTTTAAATAATGGAGATAAGTGGGAATCCGAAATTGCTAATAATATTCATGCTGATCATTTGTATCGCTAAACACTATTGTGTTATAACGTAGTCTTAGGGCCGATTGTTCCACTTTTTGGTAAATTTTACCTGTGAGGTAAATCTGATAATCCATGTATGTAATTGGATAATCTTGCTACTTACCCAACAGGTAAAATTTATCGAAAGGTGGAACAACTAGCCCTTAATGATTAAGTAAAAAAGTGTGGAATTAAATATATATCAAAGAAAATTCCCTACTGCTAGATATATGAATATATGACATGTTTAAGTAAATCAAATAAAAGGACATACATAGTTGGCAATTATACAGTTTAGCTACCGCAGCTCAAAAATCAATAAAATTAGGCTTATTTGATGTATTTTTGCATGAAACAAAAAAACCTGGCAGAAATAAATGTTGCTCTGCCCCGAGAACTGAATAGTGATTATGTAACCTTTTCCCCAGGGTGGAAACGCCTGAAAAGTAAAAATTTTTTGTATGAATGTGTATTTGTATATACATACATAAAAACTTTCACGTTTTAGAGAAAAAGTTACATAATCAATACCCTGAGATATTAATTGTTAAAGTTGGAGACAATGGTTTTGTTTAGCAAAGAAACAACTTTGCAACTGTTGTGAAATTCGTGAATATGATTGGTTTATATATTTAGATCTAGTGAGAAACTAAAGTCAGTCATATTAAAGAATTTTACACAGTTGCAAAGCTGCTGAACACAGCCTATGTACTTATTCAGTAGTGGGTTTTTTAAAATGTTTTATCAATGCTTGTCGATAAAATGTTTAGAGAATCGCAACAAGCGAGTGTTGTTAGGATTTGAATCATGATGGAAGAGTTAACAACATGGTATGTGCAATTGGATGGTGTCTCTAAATCTCCATCTTCTCCACTGTTGACTACATTGCTGATTGAGTTAATCGGCGTTGGTAACAGTCGCCTTAAGTGTTCATACAGTCAGAAGCAATGAGGTTGCAACACTTTTTTTTCAATGGGTTTCAAAATATAGTCTACTCACCAAGTAATTGGTTTTTATTTGTGGATACATGAATAAGAATCAATCGCTTGTTGAGCAAGCTGTATTCCGAAACCTATTGAAAAAAAAATTATTGTAACCTTTTAGTAACCGACTGTACATACATATATAGAGGATTTTTAAGAAAAAATGAGTTGCTTTGTACATTGACTGCAATTATTCTTCTTTCGCGATTTCCTGTCGTATTAGCAGGATCAACAAAGAGATTTGGACAACTACGATCTCTCTATAAATCTGACAGGCCAGTATCAGACCATGGTGTAATAAGCACTATGGTCACCATGGTGCTCATTACACCATGTATCAGACTACGCATTGAAGATTGAGATTAAAGATTGAAAGATTGAAATTTGCAATAAAAACAAACAAAACAAAAGGAGCTAAAATTTCTTTGTCCTCATTGGTCAAATTCCAATCTTTAATCTTGGTCTCCTATGCGTAGTCTGAAGCTGGATTTTCATCTGATGCTACGACGCTCATTTTCAGCGTCAAAACAGGTCACGTGATCAAAATTGACACTTGATATCGTCAATTTTGATCACATGACCTGTTTTGACGCTGAAAATGAGCGTCGTAGCGTCAGATGAAAATCCAGCCTGATTTCGGCTAAAAATTCTAGAGTTTTGTTTTTACTACTCTCGCAGACTGAATACGGAAGTTAGTGCAGTAGCTAATAATTTTTTCGCTTTTATGGAAAAGCGATAAATTAATTGGCTCTCGCATCAATTTTCGCCGCGTGGCAAGCGTTGCCGCATTCTGTGTGCAAGAGCCATATCAGTGAAGTGCGAATGGCTTACGTCAGTTAAGCCTTAAACACAATGCGAAGGAATAGCGATAGTGATAGGAATAATATGATTTCAACCTATCAGAAAGTGTATATTCCAGTGTACCTGATGTCTGATAGGTTGAAATCGTGTTATTCCTAGCTATCGCTATTCCTTCGCATTGTGTTTAAGGTTTTAGGTCCAACTACTACACATTGGCTGCGTTCAGCAGAGAAAGCGGCTTTGCAACTGTTGTAAAATTCTTAAATATGATTGGTGTATATATTTAGATCCAGTGTGGAACTAAAGGCAAGACCAATCATATTAAAGAATTTTACAACAGTTGCAAAGCTGCTTTCTCTGCTGAACGCAGCCACTGTATGGACGCGATAAGCGATGAGCGACGAGCGATATCCAATAAAGGCTCTGTTTTTTCTCGTTTGTCGTTGACAAATGCGCTTGGTCCATTCCAATGGAATGTCCTGTATTACCGACTAAAATACGTACAATTTTTGTATTGCGAATACTCTTTCTCTTTCACGGATTCGAAAATCCTTTTCCAGGATTAAAGTATACGCATTAATACGTGACTGTGAATTGGAGTCTACGCTGAGAATGATCAAA